GTTGTAAACCTTTTAAATACATTGTAAAACCTTATAAATACCTTGTAAAAAACCTTTAAAATACCTTGTAAATTTTTCCCGCCAAAAATTTTCCCGCCAAAAATTTAACGCCAAAAAAATTACGGAATCACTTTTCCCGCAAAAAAAATTTTTTGGCGGGAAAAAATTTTACGGGAAAGATTTACAAGGTATTTTAAAGGTTTTTTACAAGTGTTTTGGCGGAAAAAATTGAGGGATCACTTTTCCCGCCAAAAAATATTTTGTATTTTGTGGACCTAATTTTGTTATATTTCCTTGTATATTTGTGATATCTTTTATTAAAAGAAAGGTAATTTAGTCATTTTGTACATAAAAAGGGGTATTTTTAAAAATGGACAGCCAAAGGGGACATTTTTGAAAAGGGGTATTGAAAAAGGGGCATTTTTGTGAGTCTCTCTAAATTTTAAAGTAGTAGTGATACTAATATCCTTCCAAAAGTTGTCTTACAGTGTTTCCAGTTCGATTTTTACTTGAAAGAAGCTATTATTACAGCTTTCAGCTTTCATAGAAAGATATACATGATTCATCCTAAAATTTTCAATGACTAGTAAAAGAACAAATAGTGAAATGTATTTTCTTCTATATTTTATAAAATAGTTAGTTTATTGAGAAATTGTTAAAAATGTCCATTTTTCAATACCCCTTTTCAAAAATGCTTTCTTTGAGAGTCTATTTTTAAGTTTGCCATCTTTTAATTTTTAATGACTATTTTACCCTTATTTGAAACAAAATTAGGTCCACAAAATACAATATATTTTTTGGCGGGAAAAGTGATCCCGCAATTTTCCCGCCAAAACACTTGTAAAAACCTTTAAAATACTTTGTAAAATTTTCCCGTAAAAATTTTTCACGCCAAAAATTTTTTTTTGCGAGAAATGTGATTCCGCAATTTTTTTGGCGAAATTTTTTTGGCGGGAAAATTTTTGGCGGAAAAAATATACAGGGTATTTAAAAGAGCTTGCGTAGTGGTAACGAGTGTTTTGTGAGTTTTAACAATGTCTTCTGATGGGTTTTTCAAGGTATTTGTACGTCAGTAGAGAGTACCCGATGAAACCGAATAACGCGATCATAAGTATAAAATTTCCTGTAAGATCTCCTAATGTCTTATAAATACCTTATAAATATGTTGTAAAACCTTTTAAAATACATTGTAAAGCTTTATAAATACCCTGTAAAAAACCTTTAAAATACCTCGTAAATTTTTCCCACCAAAAGTAAAATTCAATGCCAAAAAAATTGCGGAATCACTTTTTCCGCAAAAAAAAAATTTCGGCGGGAAAATTTGTTGGCGGGAAAAAATTTTACGGAAAATTTTACGGAAAATTTTTACAAGGTATTTTAAAGGTTTTACAAGTTTTTACAAGTGTTTTGGCGGGAAAAATTGCGGAATCACTTTTCCCGCCAAAAAATATTTTGTATTTTGTGGAACTAATTTTGTTATATTTCCTTATATATTTGTGATATC